CCACATAAGAGGTTGTTCTGGAAACTGGAAAATATTGGAGGGGTGACAGGTAAGCTTCTATCATGGATGAAAAATTTTCTGACTGATAGAAAAATGAGGGCAGTAATCAGAGGCAATGTATCAGAATGGAGAAATGTCACAAGTGGAGTACCACAGGGTTCAGTTCTTGCACCAGTGATGTTTATTGTGTACATAAATGATCTACCAGTTGGTATACAGAATTATATGAACATGTTTGCTGATGATGCTAAGATAATAGGAAGGATAAGAAATTTAGATGACTGTCATGCCCTTCAAAAAGACCTGGACAAAATAAGTATATGGAGCACCACTTGGCAAATGGAATTTAATGTTAATAAATGTCATGTTATGGAATGTGGAATAGGAGAACATAGACCCCACACAACCTATATATTATGTGAGAAATCTTTAAAGAATTCTGATAAAGAAAGAGATCTAGGAGTGGTTCTAGATAGAAAACTATCACCTGAGGACCACATAAAGAATATTGTGCAAGGAGCCTATGCTATGCTTTCTAACTTCAGAATTGCATTTAAATACATGGATGGCGATATACTAAAGAAATTGTTCATGACTTTTGTTAGGCCAAAGCTAGAATATGCAGCTGTTGTGTGGTGCCCATATCTTAAGAAGCACATCAACAAACTGGAAAAGGTGCAAAGACATGCTACTAAGTGGCTCCCAGAACTGAAGGGCAAGAGCTACGAGGAGAGGTTAGAAGCATTAAATATGCCAAAACTAGAAGACAGAAGAAAAAGAGGTGATATGATCACTACATACAAAATAGTATTGACAAAATCGACAGGGAAGACTGAGACCTGGAACTTCAAGAACAAGAGGTCATAGATTTAAACTACTAAACACAGATGCCGAAGAAGAAAATTCACCTTCGCAAATAGAGTGGTAGACGGTTGGAACGTTAAGTGAGAAGGTGGTGGAGGCAACCGTCAGTAGTTTCAAAGGTTATATGACAAAGAGTGCTGGGAAGACGGGACTGAGCGTAGCTCTCATTGTAACTACACTTAGGTAATTACACTTAGGTATTGCAGTTAGCTCATTTGACATTGTGCCAAACATATCAACAAAAGTATGTTGACCCAGACCACACACTAGAAGGTGAAGGGACGACAACGTTTCGGTCTGTCCTGGACCATTCTCAAGTCGATTGTTCTCAAGTACAATTGACTTGGGAATGGTCCAAGACGGACCAAAACGTCGTCGTCCCTTCACCTTCTAGTGTGTGGTCTGGTCAACATACTTTAGCCACGTTATTGTGACTCATCGCCTGCATATCAACAAAACCTCAAAATATACTATAGTCCGACATTCATACGTACACGTTTCCATACACTGATATGAAAGTGATAAAATATACCTGGTCACCAATACAACCATAATCTCATGGGTGTTTGATATTTTTGTTACACTGAAAGCCCTTTCCAGATACAAAATCTTCTCTAACACAGTCCATGATAACATCGATTGCAAATCCAAGCTTTCTGTCACTAGGTTAAATTTACAAATATCAACAAAACAATTCAAAATATCAAAATAATATAAACAAAAATATTCAAAGCAATGTGTGTACCAAGAACATGAGTATTGTTTAATTGTGGGGATGAGTTACAGAAACTAATAAAGTCACTATTATGCAAAGGGTTTCAGGAAAAACTTAAAATAATGTAAAAAAAAACCAGTTATTTAAAGGTGTGAAGTGGTAAATACTTAATAATAAAAGAGAAGCTAACAAATATTGAAGAAGTAAAAGAAAAATAACAAATGAATAAAAAAAACCAGTGTGGAATGTAATGAAACGCCATTTTCTGGGTGAGACACGGAGGCTCCCCGGAGGCTCCCCGGAGGCTCCCCGGAGGCTCCCCGGAGCTATACCGAGCTGATGTGTATATATTAGACCGTGGCAACAGTCAATCCATGGAGTTCTAGGCCTACAGTGGACCAGCGCCAGAACCTGGCCCCTTCAGAGAGGCATGAGGAGCAATGGCCTAAACACCCCCATTTAATTGGGAGCAGTGTATGTCTACCATCAACCAGGTTAGGTACCCAGAAAGGTAGGCGTTCAAAAACAAACATCCTTACCCTGCCATGTGTCCGGGGTCAGGATGCTTATTTTCTTTATTACCAGCTTTATAAACACTGCACATTGACTTCCAGATGGATAATGATCAAGAACAGAGCCAATTCATGAAAAAAGCAGTGAAAGAAGAAAAGTTATTGAGCTTTCGCCAAAAGTATAGAAAAGTGAGCCTCATGTTCTTATGTGCAAGTATCCCTTTACAGCATTCTATTGCAAACACTTTGATACCAAATTGAATGACGTAGCATGAAAATTGAGGTGAGAAAGCTGTAAAAGAGTATAAACATTGTAGTGTGGTTGTGTGTTCATGGGAAACTCTAATAATGTTAATTATCACGGGCAATGCTAATAGTGTTAATAATCCTCAAACGATGCAACAATGTATCTGTTGATAATCCTCAAATTTTACTACAATGTACCTGAACAAATCCACAAGAGCAGTGACGAGGATTCGAACCGACGTCCGAGATCATCCCAGACGCTGCCTTAATCGACTGAGCTACTATTTGTTCATTTGATACATCACGCTATTGTGATTTCTGTGTACAATGTACCTATTAATTTTCTTCAAATGTTCTTGCAATGTTAACATTCTTAAAATTTTGCTACAAATTACCTACTTAAAATTATCCGTTTGATTAAGGACCTGCCCGAAACGCTTTGCGTGTTAGTGGCTTTCCAAGAGTGTAAAAACATCAATGCTGTGTACTCTCATAAACCCAATGTACCTTCTTGTATATACTGTATATAAATAAATAGATAAAAGTAATTTTCCTTGACATTCAAAGCCAAATGGCATAGAGAGGCAGTCAAGCCAACCTGGCAATTAACCATACCTTAGATGTAAGAGTAACAACCATCTTATCAAGGAAAAGAAGTTATCACAGCAAAATAAAGCCAAATATACATTCTTCTCATATAAATAAAGAAAGGAAACAAAGGAAATCTTAAGTGTGTTATCAAAAGACACAAGAAACGAAAAAAGGGAAAATATTCACATTTGAACTGCAGTATAAATCTACAAAATATGTGGTAGAGTACGTGTGTGCTGCAGTCTGTGTAGCCATAGTGTGCAGCACAGCATGCAAGTGTGTGCTGCAGTCTGTGTAGCCATAGTGTGCAGCACAGCATGCAAGTGTGTGCTGCAGTCTGTGTAGCCATAGTGTGCAGCACAGCATGCAAGTGTGTGCTACAGTCCGTGTTGCAGGTCCTCGACCAGGTGGCCTCGTCAAGGACCAAGCCGCAGGGGCATTGAGCCCCGAAATCCTTGCAAGGTAATCACAAGGTAAGTTAGCTAAAGTGCGAGTTAGTTAGCGAGTAAGTTAGCTGCAGTATACTATACTGCAGCCTGTGTAGCTATTGTGTGGCAGAGCACAGTATGGTGCACAGTAGTGTGTGTGGCAGAGCACAATATGGTGCACTGTAGTGTGTGTAGCTATTGTGTGTGGGCAGAGCACAGTATGGTGCACTGTAGTGTGTGTAGCAGAGCACAGTATGGTGCACTGTAGTGTGTGTAGCAGAGCACAGTATGGTGCACTGTAGTGTGTGTGGCAGAGCACAATATGGTGCACTGTACTGTGTGTAGCTATTGTGTGTGGCAGAGCACAATATGGTGCACTGTAGTGTGTGTAGCAGAGCACAGTATGGTGCACTGTAGTGTGTGGCAGAGCACAGTATGATGCACTGTAGTGTGTGTGGGCAGAGCACAGTATGGTGCACTGTAGTGTGTGTAGCAGAGCACAGTATGATGCACTGTAGTGTGTGTAGCTATTGTGTGTGGGCAGAGCACAGTATGGTGCACTGTAGTGTGTGTGGCAGAGCACAATATGGTGCACTGTAGTGTGTGTAGCTATTGTGTGTGGCAGAGCACAGTATGATGCACTGTAGTGTGTGTAGCTATTGTGTGTGGGCAGAACACAGTATTTTGCACTGTAGTGTGTGTAGCAGAGCACAGTATGATGCACTGAAGTGTGTGTAGCTATTGTGTGTGGGCAGAGCACAGTATGGTGCACTGTAGTGTGTGTGGCAGAGCACAGTATGGTACACTGTAGTGTGTGTGGCAGAGCACAGTATGGTACACTGTAGTGTGTGTGGCAGAGAACAGTATGGTGCACTGTAGTGTGTGTGGCAGAGCACAGTATGGTGCACTGTAGTGTGTGTAGCAGAGCACAATATGGTGCACTGAAGTGTGTGTAGCTATTGTGTGTGGGCAGAGCACAGTATGGTGCACTGTAGTGTGTGTGGCAGAGCACAATATGGTGCACTGCAGTGTGTGTAGCAGAGCACAGTATGGTGCACTGTAGTGTGTATGGCAGAGCACAATATGCTGCACTGTAGTGTGTGTAGCAGAGCACAATATGGTGCACTGTAGTGTGTGTAGCAGAGCACAATATGGTGCACTGTAGTGTGTGTAGCAGAGCACAGTATGATGCACTGTAGTGTGTGTAGCTATTGTGTGTGGGCAGAGCACAGTATGGTGCACTGTAGTGTGTGTGGCAGAGCACAATATGGTGCACTGTAGTGTGTAGCAGAGCACAGTATGATGCACTGTAGTGTGTGTAGCTATTGTGTGTGGGCAGAGCACAGTATGGTGCACTGTAGTGTGTGTGGCAGAGCACAGTATGGTGCACTGTAGTGTGTGGGGCAGAGCACAATATGGTGAACTGTAGTGTGTGTGGCAGAGCACAATATGGTGCACTGTAGTGTGTGTAGCTACTGTGTGTGGCAGAGCACAATATGGTGCACTGTAGTGTGTGTAGCAGAGCACAGTATGGTGCACTGTAGTGTGTGTGGCAGAGCACAATATGGTGCACTGTAGTGTGTGTAGCAGAGCACAATATGGTGCACTGTAGTGTGTGTAGCAACTGTGTGTGGCAGAGCACAGTATGGTGCACTGTAGTGTGTGTAGCTACTGTGTGTGGCAGAGCACAGTATGGTGCACTGTAGTGTGTGTAGCTACTGTGTGTGGCAGAGCACAGTATGGTGCACTGTAGTGTGTGTAGCTACTGTGTGTGGCAGAGCACAGTATGGTGCACTGTAGTGTGTGTAGCTACTGTGTGTGGCAGAGCACAGTATGGTGTGCTGTAGTGTGTGTGGCAGAGCACAGTATGGTGTGCTGTAGTGTGTGTAGCTACTGTGTGTGGCAGAGCACAGTATGGTGCGCTGTAGTGTGTGTAGCAGAGCACAATATGGTGCACTGTAGTGTGTGTAGCTACTGTGTGTGGCAGAGCACAGTATGGTGCACTGTAGTGTGTGTAGCTACTGTGTGTGGCAGAGCACAGTATGGTGTGCTGTAGTGTGTGTAGCTACTGTGTGTGGCAGAGCACAGTATGGTGCACTGTAGTGTGTGTAGTGTACTGTGTGTGGCAGAGCACAGTATGGTGCACTGTAGTGTGTGTAGCTACTGTGTGTGGCAGAGCACAGTATGGTGTGCTGTAGTGTGTGTAGCTACTGTGTGTGGCAGAGCACAGTATGGTGTGCTGTAGTCTACGTAACCAAAGAAGAACATTTCTCGTGTCAGAAGTGCAATGACACGAGACGCAAACCAAACTGTCCTCCTCCCATTCTGTTATCACAATTATTTCTTGGATTTCATAATATTGTAATGTCTAATATCATATTCTCACCCTAGATAAATATATTTTTCATTTCCTTTTAACTGAACTCTTGTTTCATGAATTGTTAAACATTCATGAATTTTGTATTATGATATAAAAAAACACCCACTAGATTATATATGAAACTCTCTAAATATTCCTTATCCGCTAATAATTTGTGCGATCATTATGTCTTAATGACCATTATACAGTAGAAAAATCTTAGCTGCAAACAATGTTGTTCTTTCTACAATCCTGGATAAAGTGCTGATAAGCATTTTCTTATCTCTGACTATGCAAGTAACAAAACTAGAAATAACATCTATTTTATATTATCTATCACAACACAAAATGTACTCTACAGATGAAAATATTTAAGAAACTGTTGGGGTGTTATGGAAATGTAGATAATATCCGACTTGACCTCGTTGAGGTGATCTTCAATTGGGGTGGTGGGGTCTGTGTCGGTGCGACAAGGATGCCCATAAGACTCCCAGAACATACAGCTACAATTCCGACAAAGGCAAAGTTTTTCTGCATACTCCTCCCGCAGTCCATAGGTCCTGTTGAGGTAAACATTCCATGAATCTCTACATTTAAAAACTAATTCTTTAAGCAATCAAAGTGCATCTGAACAAAAACTCTGCATTCAATGTAATGTAATGCTTCTTTCCAGTGAGCCCAAGGTGGCGCCCTGTTGCTAGCTGCTCTGAATAGCTCCACACACCTATCAAACTGTACCAGGCCCTTGTGAGTCTTTGAGAGCCTGCTGGAGACCAGAGGCTCTCAAAGGTCTGCTCCCCCTCACAGATGCACAGAGAGCAAAAAATACTAGATCACTAACCAAGTAAGTGGCCACCAGAAAGATAGAGCAAGGCAAAATAGACAACAGCAAGGCAAAGATAAATGAAACAGAATGAGAGACTCAGCAGTTAGGTAGTTCCATCACTAGATCCGCCTCCCCGCCACCAAGTAGCAGCACCAGGAGCTAGTGGCCCAGGAGATGGACCATCTTTAGTCTTAAGCAGAAATCAAAGTGAACTGAAGCTCCTGAATGGAAAGAAGGGCCCAGGGAGCCACCTTGGACCTACCATAAAGAGGTGTTTCACTACAATGAATGCTTAGTTTCTTGGAGGGCTGTGAAGCGGCTCCCTATTGCTATCTCACCACAGAAAACAAAAGAAAAGGGGGGGAATGCCAGGGAGAGATTAGCACAAGATCAAAACCAAGAGACAGGTAACTCGACTCAACACCACGCATGCTTGGCACGACATAGGTGCATTAACCAGACGATGTGCCACCAAAATTGTAATAAAGCATCAATATTGAGCCCGAATATCAGCACAAGAGTTAGTAGCAAAAAACCAGCGTTGAAAGTAATGAAACACCATTTTCTGGGTGAGTCCCGGAAGCTCCCCGGAGCTATCCCAGGCTGATATGCTAATGTCAGACTTTGGCATCAGTCATGTGTATGGAGTTCTTAGGCCTACCGGGAACCATGGCCAGAACTGGGCCCCCTCAGAGAGGCAAGGGGAGCAATGGCCTGTATAAGCCCCCATGTGGTTGGTAGCATTCTATGTCTGCCATCGACCGGAACAGGCACCCAGAAAGGAAAGCGCCTCAAAACAAACCCCTATTCTGGTTAAAATTGCTACCAAAAGCCGAACTAGTGGATAGAACTCCCCAACCGAAAACAAGCAAACTAGTGTGACGTCACATACCGCCGCGCCGCTGTCTGCGCAGCTCCCCCCTCCCCGGGAGTGGGGAAGGGGGAGCCCCAGACCCCCCACGCTGGCTACCCACACCTCAGTTCTTGAGGCTGGATGTCAAAAACGCGAAAAACCGCCGACCAGAGGGAGGGAGGGATACCGGGGAGCCTCCGGGACTCACCCAGAAAATGGCGTTTCATTACATTCAACGCTGGTTTTCTGGGGGGAGCCCCGTCGGCTCCCCGGAGCTAACTACCCACATACGGAAAAACCCACATACGAGGGACTTACCCGGGAGGCGGTCGTCGCTCACTCCTCAACTCGAAGCCGAGACAACTGGCTGCAACCGCTGACCCAAAGCAACACAGGCCCGACGGGGTCCAGGGACATTCACAAGGTAACAAGCAGCCAGGACCCTGTTCGACCGCCAAAATCCCCGCGCCTGAATATCAGACCAAGACATATTCCCAAAGAAGGCAGCAAGAGCCGCGAACTTACGAACGTCATGGGCACGGGGATAGACCGCAGGCTGGCTGGACTTAATAACCCTGCGGACGACCTGGGAGACCCGAACCCGCGAACAGTGAAGAAGGGAAACCGGATCAACCCACAGCGCGTCCCCGGACACAGAAGCTGTGGCGCGCAAATAACGGCGAAGCACCGCAACCGGACACAAAACATGATGCACCCCCGGCCTGACCAACCAAGCATCAACCACCCATGGACCCCTCCGGAACGCAACAGTCTCATTCTTCGCCAGAAAAGGAGACGGCTGCAAACGAACAAAACAATCACCACGACCAAAAGAGCAGAAACCCCTGCGCCGGAGGAGAGCATGAAGCTCCCCTACCCGACCCCCAGAGGCCAAAGCCAACAAGAAAAGTGCCTTGGAAAAACAATCCTGGACCGAAGGGGCCACAACGAAACGAGGAGACGAAAGGAAAGCGAGCACTCTGTCCAAAGACCAGGACGGCTCAGGCGACACATGAGCAGGCTGGAGGTGAAACAATGCACGAGACAGCTTGCGAAACGGCGCAGACGTAACATCGATACCGAAAGCAAGCTGAAGCGGCTCCGCTAGCGCCGCACGATACGAAGCGACAGTGTTAGGCATAAGATGACGGTCCTGAAACAACCACGAGAGGAAGGACAAGACCACCTGAACAGACAAGGAACTAACACGACAAAGACGCAAAAAGAAACGGAAGGACCGCCAGGAAACTTCATACTGCCGCCGAGAAGAAGCCCTCAGGTGGGACACCAACAAGGCCACCTGATCACCATAGAGATGATGATAGACTCGAGTAAAAAAAAACATACGCGAAGACTCGAGGAGAAGATCGAACCAGCCACGTGACGTACCGGCCCGATCTGCTGAAAGAGGCGGAGCCGTGGGAAAACCCTCGGGTTCGGACACCGAGCAACCAGCGCCTGAAACCAAGGCTGGGCCGGCCACCAAGGGACCAGAAGGACAACTCTCCCCTGGAAAGTCTCTAAGCGAGTCAGGACCTGGAGCACCAGCCGAACCAGGGGAAAGAGATACAGGAACCCCCACCTTGACCAGTCTAGCCGAAAGGCATCGACCTTGACGGCCTCGCGATCGGGGAAGGGCGCCGAATAAACGGGAAGACGCCGCGACCACGCCGACGCGAAGAGGTCCACCTCAGGGCGCCCGAACGTCTGGCAAAGCCAACGGAAGGACTCGTCATAGACCATCCACTCCGTGGAGCGGGGAACGAAGCAAGACAGGGCGTCGACCAAGACGTTGGACACGCCCCGTACGTGAACCGCCAGGAGAGCCAAACCCCGAGAACTCAGCAGACGAGTCACCCGAAGCGACCAACCCCAAAGAGACAAGGACCACATCGCACCCCCGCGGTTCAGGCTATGAACCACCGGAGAGCAGTCCGAATGGAGCCGAATCGTCGATCTGCGGGCCACCCGAATCCTCCCCAGAGCAAACCACACTGCCGCGAACTCCCGCACTGTGCTATGAGCTCGACGGAAAGACGGATCCCAACGCCCCTGGCCAGCCTGGTGAACACTGGTCACAAAACCCCAGCTGAGAGACGACGCATCCGTGTACACATCGAGCGAGGGCTCAGGTAGGCGCCAAGGCACTGAACCCCGAAAAACCTGAAGAGGAAGCCGGTGACGCAGCAACTGACGCAAGGCTCCCGGGGGTCGAACTCTGCGATCGCGAGAGAGGCAGAAGGGGGAATCCCGAAGGAACCAGAACAGCCGTCGAAGCCAAACCCGACCCGGCGGGTAGACCACCATCGCGAAGTTCAGGCTCCCGCACAGCCCCTCGAGCAACTGCCGGGTGACCCGAGGGCCCTCCAGAAACAGACGAAGGCAGGACCGCAGCCGCAGGAGAGACTCCGGAGGGAGAGACAAGGAGGCGGTTCGAAAGTCCCAAACGAGACCCAGGCAAGTCCGAACCTGAGAGGGAACCAGATGGGACTTCCTCCAGTTCACCAAGAACCCGAACCCAGCGAGCTGGGAAAGAACCAAATCCCTGGCTAGCAAGCAAGCTGACCGGCTGGGAGCCCAAACCAGCCAGTCGTCGAGGTAGGCCAACACCCGAACACCTAGGAGACGCAAACGAGCCACCACAACCCATGTAAGGCGCATAAACACGCTAGGTGCTAGGTTCAACCCGAACGGGAGACAACGAAAGCGGTAACTCAGATGCCCCACAACAAAACCGAGCCAGTCCCTGAACCGTGGATGAATCGGGACATGCCAATAAGCGTCCCGGAGGTCCAGGGACACCATCCAAGCTCCTGGCTCCAAGAGGAGCCGAACCTGAGACAGCGTAGTCATCCGAAAGGAGGGGCAATGAACCCAGGGGTTCAGAAACCCATCTGAGGGACGATGTCGTTTCGACGATGCCCAAGCGTACCCACTCCAAGACGACTCGACAGAGCGCAGGGGAAGAAACCTGCCCTGCCAGCCCCGACCCCCCAAAGGCCACCCAACGTCACCGCAGGCCGCGAGACACGACCTGAAAGGCCCACGAATCGTGGGAACAGGCGCGGGTGAACAGTGCAAGCCGCCCCCCCATCGCCCCGTCAAGGGGGCAAACCGCGAAAGGGCCGGCGACCCTTACGAGACCCAGAACCCCGCACAGCGCGAACACCGCGCCGACCAGACGAGGGAGGGTCCGCAGGAGGAGCCAACCCCGAACCTGACACCAGAGGCCTACCACGACGAGAGGAACCCCGAGCCCTGGCACGACCTTTCCAGGAAGACCCACCCCGGGACCCCCGGAAAACCAACAAGTCCGACATCGGACGACAAGCCGCCGACGCAGCCTGAATAAACTGCGCCACGGCCGACTCCTCAAACAGAAGAGGACAAAAAGGTGAAGAACGCCTAAGAGCCAGAGCCCAAACAGATTCCACGGAGGAACCCAGCACCGCCTGCCGACACGCGAGACGGGAAGCATAAAACAGGGAAACCGTACCCCGCAAAATCGGTGTGAACAGCTTCAACAAGGCAGCCAACGAACGCGCAGCCGAGGACAAGGTGCCGGACCCCGGGATGGACCCAAGCGTCCTCACATCCTCCACGAGCCAATCCGAAGACAGCTCCAGGAGGGAAAAGAACTGCAAGGCCGAAGCCAAAAGGCCCCGGGCGCGCAAGTCCTCCGCAACGAGTGCCGCCGAAAGGGAGGGAACCTGAACATGGAGCTGAATAACGCCCACGTCGCGGGGAAGGGCAGGGGCAAACAAGCACTCATTCAGGTACTCAAGCTTGCCCCTCAGGAAAACCTGAAGCACCGTGGAAGCTTCCCGCCACTCCAGCGTGCGGGAACGACAGAAGGACTGCCAGGAATCCAGAACAAACAA